CTCTCCCTCTCTCTCTCTCTCTCTCTCTCTCGCTCTCTCGCTCGCTCTCCCTCTCTCTCTCTCTCGCTCGCTCTCCCTCCCTCTCTCTCTCTCTCGCTCGCTCTCCCTCTCTCTCTCTCTCTCGCTCGCTCGCTCGCTCTCTCTCTTCCTTCCACTTCCCCACTTCAGCTGATTGTCCCGCGGAATGCCTTCGGCAATGTGGATCTCTTCCGGCCATGCATGCTCCCGATTGGGTGCCTGTGGATCCGCGGTGCGTGGTAAATGCGCTCTTCCGTCCGGCCCTGGAGCAAATTCCTGGGCTTCCAGTCCTGCTGCACTCGCTGATCCTCCCCATCCCCTCCCTTGCATGCAGATGTCTCGGCTGCTCGCATCGCGCGAGACATGGAGGTCGACTTCGTTGAGGCGGTGGTGCGTTGTCTCAGCGCATGATGTCCACACCATCCCCACTGGGTCGATGGGGGAACTAACCATTTGGGGCCCCCTGTGCGGCCTCTCCTCGTCTCGCATCCACAGGTGGACTTCTCTTTCCGTGGCCGGACCTCCTTCCCGGTGACACGCGGGATCATTGTCGCCGAGTCCCACGCCGAGCGCCTGATCGATGTGCGTCTGCCTCCTCCCGCAATCCGACCCGCGCCTCGACCCGCGCTCTGACCCGCGTCTCGCCCTCTTCCCTGCGCCCTTCCAATCCCACGTCAAAGGCCATCATCCAGTCCCGGGCGCGACGTGCTCAGCGCGAGCAGGCCCGCACCGCCACCCAGAGTACCCGCCAGTGGGGAGAATTTCTGCAACGCGTGGTGCAGCTCCACCGGCGAGTTCGTCTGCTCGGCCTTGGCCCGGAGTTTTACACCCTCAACCCGATTGTCATCGGAATGCGGTACAGTCACGTCCAGCCCGATCTGTCCCTGACGGCGGCGGCTCTGGCCGGCGGGCGAGCGGCTCTGGCCGAGCATGCCGGCAACCCGGCCGCCGTGTGGGACCAAGAGGAGGACGCACCGCTGGGCGGTGGCGCCGCCGAGGACGACTGGGGTCTCTTCTGACTGCCGATCCTCGCCTCCTTCCATGTGTAATATACGCGGCTGTTGCCTGCCCGATCTCCTTCGTGCCGATGCCGAACACCCGACTTCGCCCACAACGAGTCACGTGCCCGGGCCGATCGAGGGTCTTTGACCTGGGCACGGGCCGGGGCGCGGAGGACGTCCCCCGCTGGGCCTGGGTCTTGGGCGGCCCTCGAGAATGGCCGCCTGCCCGCCCGGCCCTGGGGCCATCGTCGCCCGACATGGAGAGTCCCAAAAATGCCGGCTCCCGGGCAAGGGGACACGCGCCGGAGGCAATGACCCGCTGTAGGCTGCCAGCCAGGCTACACCTCACTGGGCGTCCAGACGTCCAGCAAGATGGGGCGAAGGGGAGGACCACCCCCTGGAAAGAAGGGGGCCGGGTTGGATAAAGCTCAAGTGCCGGCGGCGACCGGAGATCGCCCCCCCCAGCGCCAAAGGCCAGCATGCACAGAGAAGGTTGAAAGTGAATCGACCCTCCGAGCATCTGCCATCCCCTTCGAGCCTCCGCCGCGCGGGGGGCCAGGCGCCCCGGCTTATGGGGGATGGCACTGCGAAGACAAGTGCGGGTGTCTTTGCGGAGGTGGCGCTTCCCGTCGTTCTGTGACGCCTCCCCAATCCAGAATTAAAGATCAAGCTCTCGAGTATCATCTGCGTGATCACCTGCTCGACAGGGATTCTGGTGATGATGTCCCCCCCCCCCCGCCAACAAGGGGGAATCTGCACGGGCGTGAGTCTGCCCTTCTCAGGCACCTTGAAGGGAGCCTGCGTTGAAAGCGCGCCCACTGTCTGAGTATTCTCACCCAAGAACTCATCCTCCCTCCCCTGTGTCACCCACGCTTGCTCCCCCCTCCCATCCTCGTCCATCCTTCCCATTCCCCTTTCCCACCTACGAACACATCCATGCTCCGCCGCCTCGCCGCCCTCGTGCCTGGGAAGGCCCTGCCACCCGGCACGACTCCCGCCTCTGGCGGGAATGTCTTTTCTCGTTCGGCTCAGTCCGCCCTCACGGCCCTGAAGGAAATGGTCGACGGCAAGGTATGCCTTCTCCCTCCCTCTCTCCCTCCCTCCCTCTCTCTCTCTCCCTCTCTCTCTCTCCCTCTCCCCCTCTCGCTCTCCCTCTCTCGCTCTCCCTCTCTCGCTCTCTCTCCCTCCCTCTCTCCCTGTCTCTCCCTCTCGCCCTTCCTCTTTCTGACATGCACACGCGCCTCATTGCCAGGACACCCACTTGGTGGGCACCGACCAGTATGGCAATGAGTACTACGAGTCGCCGCCGCCAAACCCCCCGGGCCGGCCCCGACGCAAGGTGGTCCCCAAGGGGATGAACCCGCGCGATGTGTACCTCTACGAGTCTGGGTCCCTGCCGGTCCAGTGGCACTCGTGGCTGACGCACCGGCGGGCGGTTCCCCCTACCCTGGAGGAGATCGCCCGCGACGAGCAGCGCCGACTCGATATCCAGGAGCGAGCGCGCCTGATCGACCAGCACTGGCGCGAGGTCAAGGCTCAGGGTACGATCTCTTTGGGCTTGTCCTGCTTCCCGCTCCCCTGTCCTCCTCGCCTGCTGTCCCCCCCCCC